GAAGAGCAGCACGACCGAGACGGCCCAGCTGCCAAGCACGACGAGCACGAGCCCGATCGAGACGGCGATCCACTCGACGACCTGCGCCACGTCGAGCACGTAGGCTTGGACGTTGGTCAGGCGGAAGGTGGCGAGAAGAATGAGGAGCGCGTTGCCGCCGAGGCTAAGGAGCGCGGTGGCGGCTACAGTGCTGACGACGACGCCGGGCAGCGCGCCCGTGATCCGACTCCGTACACGGTCCATCGGTGCAAAAGTATGGCGCTGGGGCTACGAACCTCTGGGAATGGATGCATTTGTATCAATTCATACAGGATTATGGATGAGCGATGCCATTGGCCAGTCGATGTGATGCGCTCTGTGATTGGTTGCACCATGAGTCGCACTTTGGAGGAGGAATTCACCGAGTGTGTAGTAAGTAGACTTCTCGCATGATTCGCACGGCTTAGGTGCGAAATGTATGTAAAAGTATCGAGTTTGGAGTTTGTCCCCCCGTCCTGGTTTCCGAGCAAGAGCAGGCAGTGCAAGTGTGGTCTTGCCTTCATCGCGCACTACCTCGACGAACTTGTGAAGATTGACGTGCCGCTTTCAGCACGTCTGGGCGCAGCGAATGGAAAAAGTGTCTGGTCTCGATGACACTCTTCCACGTATTATGTCAAATCGACAGCCAGGTTGATTGACAGAATGCATCGCTGTGTCGCCGTGTGGCGTATGTGCAGAAAATGAGGGAACGTGGCATCGCTGAACGATCGTGACGACAGCCATTCCGGATCGCTCGTACTAGTACTAGTACAACAGACACGAGTACAAGTACTGTAGTGTGTGCGTAGTAGAGAAAGTGTTTGGAAAAGCACCGTATCGAGACCCGTGGCCAAAACACTTCTACTTTTTCAGTGCAGGAAGCTAGAAGTTTCGCACCACATTACAGCGAAGTGCTTCCACGAGGTACACTGTGGAGGTGATGCCCAAAAACTCAATTGGAAGATACTGCCGTCTTATTGGTTGTTTTTGTGTATTTAAACCAATCATGTCCGATGCTGCCCGATCCATCGCTGGGCTGGCGTGGCGAGGATGTTCGACAGCCCGGATCACGTCGGGAAACAAAATCGCCCAAACATGGTATGTGGATAGAGACCACTTTAGAGACCACGAAATGCTGCACCACGTCGCCGAGAGAAGCGTCTAACCCGAACAATTAAGTATGGTAAATGCCATATATAGCCATATCTAGCCATATTTAGACGCATCTAGCCTCCGGACGCCACCACTCTTAGCTTTGGAAAAAGAAAAGCAAGTGGTGTTGTTGACATTGGTGTGTTGAGACAGATACCACAGTCATCGATGGAGGCTAGGTGTACCGCACATGACCAGTTTGCGTCGAAGGGGTGCAACCCAACGCAGTGAGGGCGTGCTATTTATCACTACACACTTATCGCTGTGTCAGGCATACGTGTTGATCTCGTTGATCTTGCGATCCCGCGCATTGACTTGGGATACCAACAATCAAAATAAATCGGGCGAAGTAGCCATCACGGTGAAAACAACAACGTCAGCCCATTGGCGCGTTCCTTGCATTTTCGGTAAGATGTTCAGAGCGATGGTCTTTGACGATCTGGACCACCGACCTAGAGTGATTCAGGAGGGGTCCCACCATCACTCACACCAAAGCCGACGATCCATGGCGTCAAACTATCGCGCAGTACCCAAAGCCGCATTATCCCATTACCAATGCCATCACAAGCCGTGAAACACTCGATGCGTACGGCAAACGACGTGATTCACCGCATCCTATGGGACGACTGCATTCCACAAGCCGAGGTCATCGTCGGGTACCTCGATCGCTTCGTTGGCACGGTCGAGCGCGACTTTGCCAAGTTCAATTGGGGTGACATTGCAACCTTGTCGCAGACCGAGACGGCGATCCCGCAGCACCGAATCCAGTACTTTAAATGGCGCGACGAGATCATTTGGGACAAGCGCGTGCGCCTCGACCGCGTCTTTGGCTCGTCTGGGCACGACGTGATTGCGTTCTCGCCGTTACCAAGCGCACCTGCACCGTTGTCTATCGTCGCCGCAGGGACACAGGCCAATGCAACAACAGTTTTACATGCCAGCACGGACCGCCCAAACATTTTTGTGTGCTTTCGCATCATGGACCCCGCAGTCGTCGACGCCTGCAAGCACGTGCAAACGGCGATCATTGCCACCAACCCACGATTGGCAGCGGCGGCACTCGCACCGGCGCGCTTCCACTGTACGCTCGTACGACTGCGCCTCCACTCCCTCAACGTTGTGCAGCGACGCAAGTCTGGTTTGGTTAACGAGGTTGCCGCCGCCCAGCGCGTTTTGGCCGAGTGCCAGGGTTTACTGCACACGCTGTGCGCCTCCAGCGTCCGCATCGACGGCGTCAGTGCGTTTGGCAACCGCGTCGTCTACGCCAAAGTGGCGCCGCACGACGGGCTCTTGACGCTCGTGGCGACGCTGAAAGCGCGGTTCGCAGCCGCCGGAATTTCGCTCGTCGGCAACCACGACGTGTACCAGCCGCACCTACAACTCTTCAAGCTGGCGAAGGACCATTGCCGTCTAGGCACCAAGATCAACGCCCGTTCGTACGCTGCGTACGCTTTGCACGACTTTGGGTCGCATTCCGTCACTAGCATGCACCTCTGCGGGCTAGACGACAGCAGCCACATCGCACCCGACGGATTTTACCCGCGGCTAGCACCACCGGTGGTCAACGTGGCGCCAAAACGGATCGCCAAGTCGTCAACGACGCTCAAGTCCCCTGCTGTCACGTCCGTGCACGTGTTTGATTTGACTTGACGCTTGTGCGCGCCCGGTGCGCCACCACGGCGAGTCGGTCTTGACGCCGGCCGAAGT